GGAATACTATGTCAAAAAATAAAAATATTTTTTTAATAAAATAAATATCTAAAATAGGGCCCCTAAATAACACTATAATGTTCCTCTCTTATTGATTAGAAATTCCTTTTCTTTGCCAAAATCTAAATTCAATCATCCGCCTAATTGATATTAAGTAATAGACGTTTATGCTGCAATTACATAGAATGACTTTCCATAGTTTAACTAATAAATTCTTCCTATAATAATTATACATAAAATATATTCAAATTAAGACTTCATTAAATGAACATTTTGTTCAAAAGAAAGTTCAATTTTTTTTCATTTTTTACATAACTCAATTATTAATATTTTTTTCCCCATCACACCTGTAATAAGTATATAAATTGTAGCACATATAAGAGGGAAAAATATATATCATACTAAAAATAATTTATTTTTGAAAAAATCGCCTTTTACCGAATGATATGAGCATATAAAAAGAAAAAGGAAAACAAAAAATTATTAAAAGTAAAAAATGATTTTATTAATCAATCTCATTCTACTATTTTTCCATTTTTCAAATTGTGAATGGACTACTATTACATCTTACCTCACTTAAATAAAAACTTTGATTTTTCGAAGACTAACGATTGCTATTAGTATTCTGAAGGGTTTAATGAAAAGAAAAAGTCAAGTTAAACAAATGCAAATTTTATAAATTGTACTTTATAAGGAAGCTACATAACACTTAACAACTGTTGATCATCAGCTTAATATTATAAATCTTAGAATTTTGATGATTAAATATTTGTTATAACATTTGATCTCATATTTTTTGGTATTTAAAATGAGCTAGAGAATTTGACTTATTCAATCAATAGTTAAAAATATGCTTGGATTTATAATAATTCCATACAAAAAGTTGAAATATAGGGATTTTGTGATTCAAAACAGGCATTTATATAGATTGTTAATTTTACAATTAATTAAATTTCGATTAAAGGAATTCATTAATTTACTACATTTACTTTAATGGGTAATGTATCGATCAAGAATTTCATATATTCAACTCTAAAATGCCATCCAAATTGTAAACAATGCTGGGGTGATTTACCAAACCATTACTGGCTTGGTATATATGATAAAAAAACTACTGAACAATATAACTGGCAAATGTTGTATGATTTTGCTCAACTTCATCTTCCTATTCCTATAATTTCTACTTTGATAATTATTATGTACTTGGGTTATTTAAAAAGAATTAAGGGATTTATAGAATTATAAACATTAATAATCAATATAACCTGAC